ACCAAGAATACACAGCATCACTGCCCCAGCCAGAGTGTTCTATGTCCAAACATGGACATCTGCTCTTAAGAACATAAGAGAAGCCATAAATGGATCACGCCAATGGCCCATCCAGTCTAACACTCTGTGTCATGCAGTGGCCAAAACCCAGGTACCATCGGGAGTTCCAGCAGCAGGGCCAGAACTTCAAAAGCCCTCCCACTGCCCCCCCCCCAAGCACCAAGAATACAGAGCATCACTGCCCTAGACATAAGAACATGAGAGAAGCCATGTTGGATCAGGCCAATGGCCCATCCAGCCCAACACTCTGTGTCACACAGTGACCAAAACCCAGGCTCCATCAGGAAGTCCACCAGCACGGCCGGAACTCCAGAGGTCCTCCCACTGTTGCCCCCCCCCCAAGCACCAAGAATACAGAGCATCACTGCCCCAGACAGAGTGTTCCATCTATACCTCGTAGCTAATAGCCACTGATGGACCTCTGCTCCATATATCCAATCCTCTCTCGAAGCAGTCTATGCTTGTAGCTGCCACCACTTCCCGCAGCAGTGAATTCCACACGTTAATTACTCTTTGGGCGAAGAAGGACTTCCTTTGGTCTGTGAGAAAGGGAGAAAAGTACTTTTTCCTCTACCTTCCCTGTCCTTTGACCTCTATCATGTCACCCCTCAATTGTTGTTTTTCCAAGCTAAAGAGCCCTAACCTTTTTAACCTTTCTTTGGGTCAACCATGCCCTTTCCCCACCTCTTCTGCTTCAAAGGGACCACTGCTTTGCCGGCGATGAAGGGCTGTTGTTACTACTGTCACCTGTGTCTGCAATGAAACGCAAGGGCTCTCTCGCTTCCAGATCGGATCTGAAAAGGATGGTAGCCACTCTGGCGTCTCTTGCGCTTTCACTGTTTTCATGCAAGCTTTCACAGACAAGCAGTCAGTATCCTTACGGGCGTCTGCATTCTTGGGACCTTTTGACCCGTTTGTGCCAAGTGTCGTAATTTTGATGACTAATTCATGCAGACGTGAGATAAGGAGATAGAGCTTTGCATCACCGCAGACTGCAGTTAACAGAGAACATCAGTCAGGGCTTTGCCAGGTATTGGAAGGGGAATCAAGCCAGGGTCGTTGCAGAGGGTAATCGTGTTGGTTTGCAGTAGAACGACAAGATTCGAGATACCTGACCAAGGAAGCTTGGAATCTCTAAAGCTGACACCTCAAAAGTCTGGTTGGTTTGTAAGGTGCTACTGGAAGGTCGGTAGTTCGGCAGTTTGAGACCCGAGTGTGCCGCATGACAGAGTGAGCTCCCGTCTCTGGCCCCAGCTCCTGCCAACCTAGCTGTTCGAAAGCAAGAAACTGCAAGTAGATAAATAGGTACCACTTTGGCAGGAAGGTAACAGCGTTCCGTGCACCTTGGCGTTTAGCCGTGCCAGCCATATGACCACAGAGAAGTCTTCGGACAGCGCTGGCTCTTCGGCTTTGAAATGGAGATGAGCACCGGCCCCTAGAGTTGGATTCGACTAGCTTTCGAGCAAGGGAAAACTTTACCTTTACTGGACTAGAATCTAGTTAAACTAGTGTAGAAATTCCATTCCCCCCCCTCCCCCCGGTTTCTTTCCCCAATGCTAAGGGATGGGACAGACCGGTTCTGTTCAGGGTTGAACTGGCTGGATTTCCCATTGAGATCCCATGGAATCCCTACTGTAATTTGACTTCCCACACCAGCTGAATTACCAAGAGCCATTGGGCAGAAACGGGGAAGGGGTTGCATGGAAATCCGAGCTGTATGTCAATGCTGAAGTGTAGAATTAGGATTTGTACTGTGTGTTCCTTCATTCACCAATGGGGAAATTTGATCAGAAGGTATCGGGGAAATGTCAGCTTGATTCAGCCGGAATGTCTTAGGGGAGGGCCCGTGGCTTAATGTTAGAGCAGGCTGAAACCCTGGCATCTCCAGCTGAAAAGATCGCTCGCTCTTCATGACTTTTGTCATGAAGACAGTCATTAAGAAGAAGAAAGAGATCAAGTGATAGGCGATGTGAAAGACCTCCACCCGAGACCTTGGAGAGCCGCTGCCAGTCTGAGTAGACAATACTGACCTGGATGAACCAGTGGTGGGAGGGGCCGTGGCTCAGTGGAAGAGCATCTGCTCAGCATGCACAAGGTCCCATGTTCAATTCCTGGCAACTCCTGTTAAGTAGTGGTGGGAAAGACCTCCGCCTGAGGCCCTGGAGAGCCGCTGCTCCTCTGAGTAGACAGTACTGACCTTGATGGACGAAGGCCCCTTCAGTCTCATGCGTCTTTCCAATCGTGCGTCTTTCCACGTGATCGTGCATCTTTCCAATCATCGTGCGTCTTTCCAATCATAATAAGGCACTATCAAATATGTGCATCTTTCCAATCATAATAAGGCACTATCATCGTGCGTCTTTCCAATCATAATAAGGCACTATCAAATATGCAACTTTCCCCATGTCCGTGGTCAGACATTTAAAAGCATCTGCACTGGTTTATTTATTTATTTAATAGGGATTTATATCCCGCCCTACCCGAGTGGCTGAGGGCGGCTAACAAACGACCATGCTGAAACATTATAAAATACAATAAAACATGTTGCATACAGAATAAAATGGTGCTTACAATTCACTAACTTACAATTCACTAACAATAAAACATGTTGCATACAGAGTAAAATGGTGCTTACAATTCACTAACTCCCCAAGATAAGTGATATCCCCTATTGGCGGCCAGTGTTATTAATGGCGCGAGCGCCAGGAATGATGTTTCCCATCTCCGCCAGGCGACATCTGCCCCCCTCCCAGTAGTAGGGTAGATGAAGATCATGTCACGATGGTAGAATAGTGGTGGTGGCGGCTCCTTCTCGAAAGCCTGGAGGAAGAGCTCCGTCTTACAGGCCCTGCGGAACTGTATGAGATCCCGCAGGGCCCGGTTTTCCCCATGAGAACATCTGGGTTGTGTCTTTCTGGCCTGAAATACAATCAAATGCTGCCGCTGCCCCCGCCTCACGCGCACAATGCAGGGCACAACGGAGGACAGAACATGGTTATCAAAGCAAAGGTGCAAGCCATAGAAAGCGTACTTCTACGAACGCGTTAGGGTTGAGGAAGGGGGGGAAAGCTGTTGGGCTGCGATTAACCAGAGGGTAGAAAGTAGGCCGTGATGCGCACTGTACTTTTTGAATGCCTGTCAATGCGAGATCCGCAAACTGTTGGTCTGACACCCCTCCAACACGCTCCCCCCCCTTCCTGGAACCTTTGGATTGAGCAGCGGAATGCAAATTGCAGTGTCTTTCCGGCTTTGGAGTTTTTATCAGAGTCTCATCGCCAGCCCAACTTAATTGAAAAAAAAAAATCCACTTTTATGGTGGGATTTAAGCGCGTTTTATACTTGAATGACAGCTTTTGATGCCGAAGCGTATTTTACAGGAAGTGGGTCTAGTTCTTTATCAGTGTTTCTGTAAGGATATTTCAAAAACTCTCATCAAATTTCCAACAGTAAGTAATATCCCATTCAGTGCAAGGTGAAATGTTTTACATCAAATCCCCTGCTGCGTAATGGCCAATCAGACGGTATTTATAGTGGCTGAATGGATTTCTTGGCTTCGTATTCAAAATTAAACATTTTCAGACATTAACATTTAATGCTCTTCTCCCCCCCCTCCTTTTTTGCCACACTTCAAGTTGATTTTATGTAACCCTAGAAACTCGCAGCTCCTTGATAGGTTGGAGTGCCTTGTTTATACCCTCGAACCCACAGGCAGTGGTTTTATATTTATCGTACCTGTGTAGACAGAATTAAATTGCAGATTTGATAGCACGTTTATCCCTTCCATTCGAAAACCATTTTCCGGTGAGTTGCGTTAGGTGTCGATCAGCAGACTGCTCCGAGCTGACTGATTCAAGCAGGAGTTGTTTTGCTCTTTGAGCCAGTGATGAAAACTAGAAAAGGAACAGCGAGATTTGAGTCCAGTAGCGCCTCAGAGACCGACAAAATTTTCAGGGTGTGGGATTTCATAAGAACATCAGAGGAGCCCTGCTGGATCCGGCCAGTGAGGGTCCATCTAGTCCAGCATCCTGTCTCACAGAGTGGCCAGCCAGTTCCCCTGGAAGGCCAGCAACAGGGCAGAGAGGCCGAGGCCTTCCCCTGAGAAGAACATCAGAGGAGCTCTGCTGGATCAGACCAGTGAGGGTCCATCCCATCCAGCCTCCCGTCTCACAGAGTGGCCAGCCAGATCTTCTGGAGGGCCAACAACAGAGCGTAGAGGCCAAGGCCTTCCTCTGATAAGAACCTAGGAAGGGCATAGAGGCCAAGGCCTTCATAAATACATAAGAAGAGCCCTGCTGGATCAGACCAGTGGGGGTCTATCTTATCCAGCGTCCTATTTCACACAGTAGCCAACCAGTTCCTCTGGAGGGCCAACAACAGGGCAGAGAGGCCGAGGCCTTCCCCTGAGAAGAACATCAGAAGAGCCCTGCTGGATCAGACCAGTGAGGGTCGATCTAGTCCAGCATCCTGTCTCACACAGTGGCCAACCAGTTCCTCTGGAAGGCCAACAACAGGGCACAGAGGCTGAGGCCTTCCCCTGATGATGTCTCCTGGCTCTGGGATTCAGAAGTTTTGTGCCTCTCAAAATGGAGGTTCCCCTCAGTCACCTCCTCCATGAATCTATTTATCCCTCTTTCAAAGGTGTCTCTGCCTGTGTCCATCACTACATTTTTGTCAGCTAATTCCACATTTTAATCACTCTCTGCATAAAGATGTATTTCCCTTTTGTCCGTCATGGGGTGATAGGAGGTTTGATTCTGTAAATCTCAGACCCCGAAACTCTCGTTGGTCTCTTAAGGCGTTCCTGGACTCAAATCTAGCTGTTCGACCGCAGATCAACACGGCTACTCTCTGAAACAATCTCCATAGAAAAGGAACAGTTAAAGGTGTATCGTATCGCATTCGAGAGGTTAAACTTGGATTCCGTTTCTCGTTACTTACAGATGTCCCACCAGAGAAGCCTCTGTCAGCCGCATCTGGAGCCGGACGGGTCGTATCTCAATATAGCGAGACCGCAGACTCTGTACAGAAACAACCGAGGCACTCCTTTTGCACCTGCGGCTCAACGGTGTCAAGACAGCCACGCCCCCGAGGTTTCAATCCACGATGGCAGGCCAGAAGACTGGAGCGGCAGCCTGCCGGAACACCGGCTACACGGGAAATGCAACAACCTGGTGTCCCCCGGCAAGTCAAAGGCGCTTCCCCGTGTGAAAAGAACTCCTGACGCTGGTCCAAGGAACAACGAATGCCCCCTTTCAACGTGTGCTTTCCACCAGAAGGCTTGCAGCGCAGATCGCAGCTGTCTCCAAGAGGGCCACCACACTCCAAGAAGACCTCCCGGGCCTCACTGCGGACCGTCTCCGGACCGCCCTGGCCCGTCGCTTTCCTCGGGGCCGAATGGCAGCACGGGCTCCAGTTCGAAAGAGGAGGGGCGGGGCAAGAGGCTGTCAGAAGAGAGGAGGAAGCAGCTCCTGCTGCAGAAGATGGAGCTGGAGATTGAGAAGGAGCGCCTGCAGAACCTCTTGGCCGAGAAGGAGGCCAAGCTCTTGCTTCAGCAGCAGCAGCTGTATCAGTCCAGGCTGGCTTACGACAGGTGGGTGTCCTGGACGGGCCACGTGATATGGGTAGTGGTGGTGGTGGGATCTGCGGTACCAAACAGCATCTTTATTTATTTATTTATCATAGAATGATAGCGTTCGAAGGGACCTTGTAGGTCACCTAGTCCAACCCCCTGCACTCTGCAGGAGCACAGCCGAAAGAGAGCCCTACAACATACCCAAAATATGGCCGTCCAGCCCCCGCTTGAAAACGTCCAGCGAAGGAGCATCCACCACCTCCCGAGGCAGACTGTTCCACTGCTCAAGCACTCTCACAGTCCGGATGTTTCTCCTGATATTTAGCTAGTATCAACTCCCTTGTCATTTCCACCCATTAGATCTAGTCTTGCAATCCGGAACAAGAGAGAATAGATCTGCTCCCTCTTCTACATGACAGCCCTTCAGATATTTGAAAACTGCAATCGTGTCCCCTCTAAGCCGTCTCTTTCCCAGGCTAAACATCCCCTACTCTTTCAACCTTTCCTCATGAGACTTGGATTCCGACCCTCTCGCCATCCTGGTTGCCCTCTTCTGGACACGCTCGAGCTTGTCAACATCCTTCCTCAAATGTGGTGCCCAAAACTGGACACAGGACTCCAGGTGAGGCCTGACCATAGCAAAAGTTTGGGCAGGTTGATAACATTTAAGCAACTTCCAGTTAGGCTAGGCAGTGTTCTGACATAGAATCAGACAGGGGTCATTTCGTAGAAAAAGAGCTAGGGGGGCTCATTAGCATAACTCATTAGCATATGCCACACACCCTGACATCACTGGAAGTGTGTCCTCCCCACAGCCGGCGGTGACCTCCAGCGGGCACCAGCAGGGAGCTCCAGGCCCCGCCCTCCCGCACCTCACCCGGGGGGATGGCATCCCCCCG